TCATGTAGTGTCCAAGCTTGAAGTCTTCCAGAAAAGCGATCCCCTGCTTCATGCTTATGTATCCATAAACTTTAAAGCATATGTTAGCAACTGGATATCCTGGATACAGGTACCCGATAATGTACTCAGTGATCACATTCAACGCTGGTTTCTGTTCACCAATGTAAAGATTGTTCATGAGCAGTAACAATGCAAAACTTGGTAGAAGCATGGGGTACCAGAATTAAACAGAACATGTTAAACTTTTAAGGGACACAGTCACACAGTTGGAATTTGAACCCTATTCAGGCCTGTGGAAATAGGCTCCAGGGAATCCCCATAGGGGCCAAAGCATATTTATTAGCTTCATAAATTTAACCACAGGCTGAATATGAGATTCCATTTTCACTACATTTGCTGATGGTGAGTGGATTGAAAGGTAAAGAACATCCCAGGTGAACACAAAAATGCAGAATATGAGTAAGAGCGTTATACTCTACCTGATTCGTTGTGGCAGTAATGACTCCAATAGGAAGAGTGAAAAACAAGGCTAAACCACAAGCAATAAAGACACCCCACCATTTCAATTGGAGTTGATCGTTGTAATAATGGCATGTAAATATGGTCGCCACTATGTTAGCCACCAGGATGCACATGAACCACCATCCAGGAACTTGCTTATATTTTCTCATGAGCTTTGTGTGCACATCCATCTTCTTCTTGCGGAAGGCAGATGTGCTTAGCTGCCAGATGTCTCTGCAAGCTTGAAAAATTAAGGCCCGATAACAAAATATAGAGCAATATATAAGCTAGTTCACCTTACACTATTTAAAGCAATATAGTAAGCCATTAAACCATTAAAAGTGCAACCAAGTGATGTCCATTGAACAAAACTGAAAAGACAACATTATAATGTTTCAGGCAACAGTTCAACCTGGAGAGTGCGGCTTACCTCCCATTGAAAAGGAGAACATGAACAACAGTGGCAGTAAGGCAGGCAAAATTGACACCATAAATGATAGCAAAAAAGGTGCTGATATGGAGAGGGCCCTCTCGCTCATATGCATCAATGTCAAGGCGGAAGTTAGGGTCTATTATAGCTGATATGTTGTAGCTCTGGCCAGTAGATGTGAACAGACCATCCGAGAATATGGGAAAATTTTTGGCATTATATAAATTGAGCCAATAAGCCAGAGGAGCTATGACATACAACACGAGGAAAACACCAGCAGCAACGTTGGCCGTAGCAAACCATGGACTGGCGAGCGGGCTCCCAAGATAAGAGGATATGCTGGACCAATCAAGCCCAACTGCGCCAATGCCAAGACCATGCAGCCCTGAACCTAGCTGATGAGCAAGGATGGAAGTAGGGAATATCCAGCAAATCCAGGAAAGGGAAGTCAACATTGGGAAGAGGTAGCCTGGAAGGACATAGTAAGCAAAGCTGCAAGTGAA